AGAGAGAGAAGGAGGCTTCCTGCCGAGCAGGGAGCCCGATGTGGGACTCGATCCCAGGACCCTGGGATCATGACCTGAGCCGAAGGCAGAGGCTTAACGACTGAGCCACCCAGGCGCCCCAGATTTCATTTTTTAAATTTCTTTTTTCTTTTCTTTCTTCTTCTCTTTCTCTTTCTTTGGGCAGGCAGCAGAGGGAGAGGGAGAATCTCAAGCAGGCTCCACACCCAGCACGGAGCCTGATGTGTGGGTTGATCTCATGACCCTGAGATCATGACCTGAGCTGAAATCAAGAGTCAGACACTTAACCTGTTAAGTCACCCAGGCGCCCTTGAGAACAGATGTCAACTGTGCTGGTGGCTGCTGCAGCCTAGGTAAATTCTTTGTAAGCTGAGTGTTCCTAGATTGAGCACAGCTGCAACACTTTATTTTTTAAAAGATTTTATTTATTTATTTGAGAGAGAGAGAGAGCACGAAGAGGGAGAGGGAGAAGTAAACTTCCTGCTGAGCAGAGAGCCCAACCCAGGGCTCAATCCCAGGACCCTGGGATCATGACCGGAGCCGAAGGCAGATGCTTAACCGACTGGGCCACCCAGGCGCCCCAGCCTGCAACACTTTACACAACAGGTATTTTAAATACCCAACAGCAGTTACTTCAGGAGGTAGAGCTGTCAAAGCTCACTGAAATTCTGAGATCTGGGACCTAGTCTGGCTTCTTTTTGTTCAGTTTTTAAAAATATGTATTGAGCTTCCACTTGCTGGGCATCTTCTGTGTGTTCCATCCACCTTGTTGTGTAACCAAGTAGGCTGAGCTGAATGGTCAGGTTCAGCTAAAGAAAGGCACTGGCAAAAATGTGAAGGGCAAGAGGAGAGTGAGGTGAAGGTATTTATTCCCTCCCCACTCCTCCTACCACACCACCATGGCTACCAGTCTCCTGCCAGGCAGCCCTCTGCCCTTGAGCCTTCAGGGTCCAAGGTTCTGCACCCAACCTTGTTTGTTTTTTGACCTTGCCAATGCCTTTGTAAATAGTCCCTTTATGAAACTCTCCGCAAATTACCCAATTGGAAAGTGCCACTTGTTTCCTGCCAGAACTCTGACACAACAACACTGACACTGCCAGTGACCAGATTTGTGAATTGAAAAGCAAAACTCTTGGGGCACCTGGGTGGCACAGTGGTTAGGCGTCTGCCTTTGGCTAGGGTCGTGATCCCAGCGTTCTGGGATCTAGCCCCACATGGAGCCCCGCATGGGGCATCGGGCATCGGGCTCCCTGCTAGTTGGGAAGCCTCCTTCTCCCTCTGCTTGCCATTTCCCCTGCTTGTGCTCTTTCTCTCTCTCTCAAATAATAAAAATAGTAAGTCTTAAGAAAAGCAAAACTCTTACTAAGCACCTGCTATATAGTTTTATCAGTCCGGTGTTTTTACCTGTATTAGCCCATGTAATCATCACAATATGCCTTTTACAGACAAGGAGACTGGATTCAGAGACTTAATTACATATTTTGCTAAGGATCACCAGGCTATTGAGCAGGATCAGACTGGAATTCAGGTAGATCTCACTCCATAAACATCTACCTGCTCTGAAAGCCACCCTTGGTACCCTTAGCTTTAGGGAAAAGGCTCGGTAAAGGATTGAGGCAAGGGAAGGATTAGGCTGTTTCCCCACTGATCATCTGAATTACAATCACCTGGGATACTTTATAAAACTCCAGATTCTTGGAACTGCCAGTATCTTTCCCAATCTCGGCCGTCTTTGTACCTCTATTTCACACTCACTGCGCAGGATTGCACAATAATGAACTCTTACTTTAGCAGCTACTTTCTTCCGATCAGACGCTAGTGGATTTGCACAAACACTAGGAGACCTCACACAGCGGCTTAGAGTGTCTCACGTGAGTCCAAAAGAAGAAGCGCAAAGGTTCCAACTGCGATTGCTTCCCAGGGAGGTGGAGAGGCGCCTGGCTGGACACTCGACCGAGGAGGGCTGACTCCCCTGTTCCGCAGAAATCGAGATGGCGGCGACGGTGATCCTGCAGCCCGCGGGCCGCTGCAGCTGGGACGAGCCCGTTCGCATCGCCGTGCGCGGCTTGGCCCCGCGACAGCCCGTCACGCTGCGCGCGTCCCTGCGCGACGAGAAGGGCACGCTCTTCCGGGCCCACGCGCGGTACCAAGCCGACGCCGGCGGCCTCCTGGACCTGGAGCGCGTGCCCGCGCTGGGCGGCAGCTTCACGGGGCTCGAGCCCATGGGGCTGCTCTGGGCCCTGGAGCCCGAGAAACCCCTGGTGCGATTTGTGAAGCGGGACGTGCAGACGCCTTTCGCCGTGGAGCTGGAGGTGCTCGACGGCCACGAGCCGGACGCCGGGCGCGTCCTGGGCCGGGCGGTGCACGAGCGCGACTTCCTGCGGCCGGGCGTGCGGCGGGAGCCGGTGCGCGCGGGCCGGGTGCGCGCCACGCTTTTCCTGCCCCCAGGTGAGCGACCCGGGTCCCAGGCTGTTCTGGAGAACCGGGTGGAGGAGTCCCGGGACCCTGGGCAGCCTCTTGCCTGGCGGGGGGGTTGGGGGGGGGGAACCACGTGGTTGTGGAACTTTCCTAAACTCATCCCCGCACTCCAGAGCCTATCATGGATTCTGGATAGACGTTTTTCCTGTAAGTTTCATGGCACTTCCTAGAGTCACTACCGGAACTCCTTAGCTGTATGCTAAAAAGTGCATTTATTTCAAGTGCCCAACAGGCGGCTGTGTCAGATACCAGTATTAAGTAATGACTTACGCTGCTTTGCCTCTTTTCACATGAAACTTCCAAGGAAGCTAAAACCCACAGATAGAGGCAGTGCCCCATAATCCTAAAAAGCAAACTGATGGTCACCTTCTCCCATCATAAACAGTCTGTCAGTGATTCTTTTGTTTGTTTTTTTAAGATTTTATTTATTTTTGAGAGAGAGAGTGGACACAAGCAGGGAGGAAGGGCAGAGGGAGAAGCAGGCTCCCTGCTGAGCAGGACCCTGGGATCATGACCTGAGCTGAAGGCAGACCCTTAACCGAGGGAGCCACCCAGGCATCCCTGGCAGTGATTCTTAATCTTGGTTGATTTTCCCCCACCCCAGGGGACATTTGGCAATATCTGGAGACATTTTTGATTCTCACATCTGAAGGGTCGGGGCGGTGGGCGTTATTGGCATCTAGTGAGTAGAGGCCAGAGATGTTGCTAAACGTTCACAATGCACAGGGCAGCCCACACAACAAAGAAATATCTTACTCAAAATGTCTATAGTGCTGAGATTGAGAAACCCTGGTCTAAGTAAAAAGGTGCTTACTAGGTAAAAGGGGCCTGGAAACAAGATCCTTGACCCAACTTTTACAACCAAATTCCTGGTTGAAACCCCTCCTATATAGAAATGCTGGAGTTGCCACAACAATTCTGTCATTATCCAAAACAAGAGGCCCTGGTTTATTCTTACAGCTCATCAGCAATTCCCAACCTTAACTAGTGGCTGCACACTCAATTGTGAACTCCTGCGGCTGCGATCAGATTTAACACATCTCTGTGTATCTATATTCCTAGAGGCTTGCCCAGGGATATAGTAGGAGCTCAATAAATCATACCGACTGATTCAGTAAGAATCTCCCCCAGGGGCACCTGGGTGGCTCAGTTAGTTAAGTGACCACCTCTTTGATTTCAGGTCAGGTCGTGATCTCAGGGTCCTGGGATGGAGGGAGCCCTGTCTTGGGCTCTGCACTTAGCAGGGCGCCTGCCTGAGATTCTCTTCCTCTCCATCTGCCCCTTCCCGTGTTCCCTCACGTGGGCGCTTGCTCACTCTCTCAAATAAATAAAAGCTTAAAAAAAAAACATTTAAAAAGAATCTCCCCCCAAAAAAACCTTTCACCACCCATCACGGTATCTGATATTCCAGTCAAGTCAATCTTTTGTTAACTATTTCAGTGTCTACTATGTGGTCCATTTAAAAATTGTTTTCTGTCTCAAAGGCTTTTGTAAATAATGTAGAAGAGTTCAATCATTTAACAAATACATATTAAGTCAAGGACCATGCTACATACTGGGATGGAATAGATAGCAAAGTCAGACATGGTCCTCACTGTACTTACAGCCTAATAAAGGACCCAGGTAACTATACTTGCACTTATAGATGTGGCAAGTGCTGTGATAGGGAGAAGGAGAGGCCCAGGGTGCTGGTGGGAACATATAAAAGGCTATCTGACTCAGCTCAGCCTTGGGGGAGATCTGGGAATTCTTCTGGGAAGGGAGATCTAAATTTAGGTTTGAAAACTGAGGGGTCAACCAGATCATAAAAACTAGAGAGGGGAAGAGACTAGTGTATACCACTTTCAGGAGCCAAAGAGAACAGCACATTTAGGGATGGTGTTATTTAAGGCTGGAGCAGAGAGTGCAAGGACACGCAGAGTACATCTAATAAACCCTTATGTATGTAGAACATTTTACAGCTCTCAAAGTATTCTCAAATAGATTTTTTTTTTTTGAGGAAAATTTTGTGGGAAATGTACATTTCATCATGTGCTATTTCTAATTTGGTATAAATATATATATGGTGTGTATATATACACTACCATACATATACCATATATATATATGAAAATATGTGAAAAATTCTGGAGAAAATAAATAATTTTGTTCCCCCTCCCTTCTCCCTGAAGGTTACTAAAAGAAGAAAAAAGGAAAATTTTTTTTAAAAGGATCCTTTTTCCACTCACTCCCCCACCCCCAACCTTCCCTGCTTCAGAAACTTCTCTTTGCTGACTGCCAAAATCTGAAACTCGAGAATGTCTTTTGAGAGTCTAAAGCTCCTTATGATTTGTGGTGCTTTCTAGGTGCAGGACCCTTCCCTGGGATCATCGATCTGTTTGGAAGTGGTGGTGGCCTTTGTGAATACAGGGCTAGCCTCCTGGCTGGACATGGTTTTGCTGTGCTTGCTTTGGCTTATTTTGGATTTGAAGACCTCCCTGAATATTTGGATGATATGCACCTGGAGTACTTTGAAGAAGCCGTGGACTTCATGCTGCAGCATCCAAAGGTGGGTTCTAGTGTTTGCCTGAATGCAGAGGAGAGGGGATAGAGCGGACACAGGACTAGATTCAAAAACCCTCCCAGGACACCAGGGGCTAGAAATATGTCATGAGACACCAAAGTTCCTTCAAAAGTTACTAGGATTATTATTTTCATTTCTACCCATTTCTCTCCAATCTCTTAAGACTCAACTGTTTATTTCCCTTTAATTCTTGACCATAATTCAAAGCGCTCTACTAAAATGTTACTAACCTTAAATTCTGGTTCTCCATCTACCACCACATGGCCTTATAATCCTGAACAAGGCAACTGCTTTCTCTGAGATTCAGTTTTTCTCACTTATAAGGCTAATGTAAATGTATAGAGGAAAACATTTGACTATTAAGAGACATTTTTAGGACATTTGAATAGGGACTGTATTTGATGATACTAAGGAATCATTAATTTTGTTAAATGTGATAATGGTATTATGTTTTTATAGAGAGTTCTTATCTGAGACTGCAAAAAATAATCAAAACATTTGGTCTGATTATAAATGGAATACATACTCTGCAACTATCTAGACTTAAAGAAACTCAAATATTCTAATGTTAAGTAATAAAATGTTCTATAAGTTCTATAGGATAGTCTAACACTGCCAGAATTCAGGGAATGGTCTCTTAGCAGAGCTGCTACAACCTAGATGATCTTGAACTGTGATTATTGGTTTATTAGAGGAGATAAGGCCCCAGGGAAAAAGAAGAGACCAGTATATACTCAGTTGTGCCCTTAGGCCTAGGCAAGAGGGGCTTCTGTCCTGGACCTTTTGTTTTAGATGGCCACATTCTGGCCTGCTTTTGGGCTGCATCCCTGCCCACAGGGTGAGGAATCCAAGGGACCCAGGGAATGTATCCACCTGGAATTCATGTGCCTTACACACACACGCACACACACACACACCATGCCCTTGTGATATGGAACCCCAGAATTCTTTGCCAAATAGCACTAATCCTGCTTCCAGGCTCTATGTCTCTTCTCTGGTCTATCAATGTGAATACACCTAGGCCTTCACCATGTAGGCTGGGGTGTCCACATACATGTGTGAGAGGCCCCTTAAAGTACATGATGGAACTTGGGATGGGAAAAGAAGAAAGGTGGACCAGGGACCAAGGACTGGGTCTGGCTCTCCCCCAGGCCACATTCCAGTACAGAACTTCAGGGATTCCCAAGCTTTCAAATTTTCTGTTATGGAGGTATATTTATCAAGGTGGGAAAAAAGAATATACTTGAAGAGTTTGTTCATTTGATTTATAACATTTAAATATTTAGGTATGGGGTGTATGGGTCTCTGTGTGTACTCTTGACCCAGTCACCATAAATATTAGTGGAAGGCCTGTATATTAAGAAATCAATTGATTTGCTTATTAGAAGACAGTTGAGCTTTGTGGATTGTTGCATAAGGAAAGAAAGCGAATGAAATTTAAGAAAGCTACCTAGAGAATATAAAATCACCATTTATGTCCTCCACTTACAAATTCTAAGCTTGTTCTGTTTCTCTTCTTCAGGTGAAAGGCCCTAATGTTGGGCTTCTTGGCTTCTCCAAAGGAGGCGACCTGTGTCTCTCTATGGCCTCTTTCTTGAAAGGCATCACTGCCACGGTACTTATCAATTCCTGTGTGGCCAACACAATAGTTGCTCTGCATTACAAGGATATGATTGTTCCCAGTCTTGGCAGTGACATAGGAAGATGTACAATTAATGAATCAGGACTTTGGAATTTTCTGGATGTTTGGGACAATCCACTGGAGGAACGCAATCACCCAAGTATTATTCCACTGGAAAGGGCCCAGGGGCCCTTCCTGTTTATTGTTGGCATGGATGATCATAACTGGAGGAGTGACTTCTATGCTCAAATAGCCTCTGAACGGTTACAAGCCCATGGGAAAGACAGACCCCAGATAATCTACTACCCAGGAACTGGTCATTGTATTGAACCAGCTTATTTTCCTCCTTGTAGAGCTTCTGTACATACAGTGTTACACCAACCAATATTCCATGGAGGTGAGCCAAAGGCTCAATCAAGGGCACAGGTAGATGCCTGGCAGCAAATTCAAACTTTTTTCCATAAACATCTCAATGGTAAAAAATCTGTCCAGTGCAGCAAAATATAACATTGTAATCATAGACCAGATACTATTAATAAAAATCTAATTCATACAACATGTGTTGGGTTTTCCAAAGCACATAGGGAACTTTTGGTAACAAGATAATTATCTCAGCTCCTTGTCAGGTCCTGTTGGATTCCAAGGCTTTGCAACCCTCCTTTCTTCACTGCCACCCCTCTCTCCCCTGAACTTTACCTACCATATAGGCTTAACCCTGATTTTATCCATAGGATCCATCTTAACCTGAAATAGGAGAAATGTAAGAAGTGCCTACCCAACTCTCAATTGCTGGCCTAGCTTTGACCTGTGTTCTGGTTGTGAAGACTGAGCTTCTGTATTGCTGAGAGTTCCATATCCCCTTTGGACCCTAACTGACCATGTCTGAACCTTGGGAACATACCCACTTGAATCCCTTAAGGAATGGACTCTGCTTCTTTCTTGCCAGTACACATTCCTGAATGTGTATTCAAGACTTGTCTCTGAACCCCACTCTGAAGATTGGGGGCATTGATATTTTTCATATGCTAAGCTTTGCTTTTATTTTATGAATGCAAAGCTTTGCTTTTATTTTACGAATGAAACCTCAATTTCTTCCTTACTGATAATGTATCCTTTACAAAATTCAACATTTATAAAGGATAACTTTACAAAGTAAAGCTGAATTCTTTTTTTTTTTTAAAGATTTTATTTATTTATTTGACAGAGAGAGACACAGCGAGAGAGGGAACACAAGCGGGGGAGTGGGAGAGGGAGAAGCAGGCTCCCCGCAGAGCAGGGAGCCTGATGCGGGACTCGATCCCAGGACCCTGGGATCATGACCTGAGCTGAAGGCAGTCGCTTAACCAACTGAGCCACCCAGGCGCCCAAGCTGAATTCTTTACAACAAAATTTATTGTAAGCAAAACTGTATTGATATACTGATTTAACCAATTTTTTAAAAGATTTTATTTATTTGAGAGAGAGAGAGGGAGCATAAGGGGGGAGGGGCAGAGGGAGAGGGAGAAACAGACTCCCTGGTGAGCAGGGAGCCCAACATGGAGCTCAATCCCAAGACCCTGAGATCATGACCTGAGCCGAAGGCAGACGCTTAACCGACAGCCACCCAGGTGCCCCTATAACCAATTTTTGAAGGATTTCTTTATTAATCTGAGAGAGAAAGATAGAGGAGGGGCAGAGGGAGAGGGAGAGAGAATCCCAAGCAGACTCCTCACCCAGCGTGGAGCCCGATGCAGGGCTTGATCCCACAACCCTGAGATCATGACCTCAGTCAAAACCAAGAGTCAGATGTCTAACTGACCACACCACCCAGGCACCCCGATACAACAGATTTTTTTTTTTAAAGATTTTATTTATTTATTTGACAGACAGTGAGAGAGGGAACACAAGCAGGGGGAGTGGGAGAGGGAGAAGCAGGCCTCCCGCCAAGCAGGGAGCCCAATGTGGGGCTCGATCCCAGGCACCTGGGACCATGACCTGAGCCGAAGGCAGATGCTTAACAACTGAGTCACCCAGGTGCCCCCCGATACAACAGATTTTTAAGAGTACCGTGTGGGCCACTGCCTTAATCCTTGGATGTCATATATACTTGCCAAATTAGACTTCCTCCCAGCATCATCTGTTCCTATTGCCTTCCTACTGGGAAGTACTGGGATCAGTCTGCTTCAACTCATTGCAATGTACCGAGCACTGTCTAGATTCATAAGAGACCAGAGCAGAGGGTCTTCCCTGAGTGCAAGAAAATTTTCCTGAGACACATCACATGGTTTGCTGGGCACATACAAAATCTTTCACCAGTTTCAGTCCATCCAAACAACTGCCCATTAGTTCTTAACTAATGAAAAGAAAGATTCCTAAGAGGTAACTTAACTTTGACCAATTGCTAAAAATATGTGTTAAGTGTAGTTATTCATTATGTAGTATAATAATTTACTATGACGTGAATTCTTGGAGCCTCTGTTTTAACTCACTGCCAGGTGGTCCTGCTACAGATGCCTTTGGGATGGGGAATCACAGGAAAAAGTTATAAGGAACATGGCTGGGGGTATGAGAGATGTGAGAGCCAAAAGGTAGCTCCAGAAGCTAAGCATAAGGATGACAACTAACCATCTCTAGATACTAAATTTCTAGGTATAGGGACAGCTCTCCACCTTGATTTCTTCCTTACTGATAAAGTAGCCTAGAAATGCCCTACACTGACTAAAGATATTTGGTCATTTTCCCCTCAGAGTTAACTGTATATATGGCCACCTGTTTCTAAGATTTCAAAAGGAATTTCAGGTTGTTGAAAAGCTACCTAAAGTTTCAGGTTGTTGAAAAGCTACCTAAAATATGGTAATTGTGACTAAGAAGGAAGGCAGGAAGAGAAAAGGTATCCATGAAATGAAGCCAGAAATGAGGTTTCTCATTTATAATAATAAGCACAATAAGCACAATAGCGCTTATTATGAAGTCCTATATACTTGCCTTGACTGGGCCACTCATTCAGTCATATGCTTTCCAATGGTTTATGCAAAGAAGGAAATCTAATCAGTTACACAAACTTTACAGCATTCATAAAATAAAAGCAAAGCTTAGCAATTAATTTCTTCCAAAGGTTGTCATGCTAAGAAACATTAAGTGATGTAAATGGTAGTATCCTCAATGATTCCTCTGAGGTAGATATAAATTCCAGGCTCCACTACTTATTAGCCATGTGATCGGGGGTAAGTTATTAACCTCTCTAAGCCTCTATTTCTTCATCTATAAAATGGGGATAATAATAGTGATGATAATAGAAACTACCTCTCTGGGTTGTTGTGATTAAATTAGATAATCCAGGTGAAGCATTTAAAAAATTTGTCTTTTAAAAAACATAACATTTAAATTTCATTACAGAGAAGTGATCCTACAAAATCTAAGTGAGGATTCCAACTTGAAAGATCCTAAGAGAGAGGGACTAAGTGCCTTTCAGGTGCCTTTCAACTCTGAGATTCTCAGAGGTGCTGGATTCCAGAACTTTGGACTTGTACTTGCATTCTGAGGTTGGACATGACGGTCACAGATTAAATTTAACCCTCTTAATTTATTACCCTATTCCAGCCTTCTCCTAGGGCTAATTACAGTTATCAACTTGAAGTATACCCTTCCAGAACCATTTTATGTGCATGTACATACAAATATTTGTTTGAGTGTAAAAAATATGGTTTTATTTTGTGAGTCCCATGACTTTTTCTTGGGGGGGGGAGTCACGATGTAATTTTTTTCCGCATATAAAAACACATTTTTAATACTTGTGCCAGGCCCTAAGACAATAAAGATTATTTCCATAGTGTATACATCTGTAGTGCTGCCTCATCTAAAACGCCTTTAACGTTGGCAGTCTTTCTTAATCCCAGGCAAAAATAATTTCAAGGAAGGAATTTGGCAGAAGCCTACTGCCCTCCGGACCCGAGGATGCCCCGCTGGGCCCCGCCCCGCCCCGCCCCGCCCGGCCCCCGCCTGCCCTGCGGGCGGGGAGGTTTGACTCTGCCTACGGCCGCCGCCCGGCCGCGTGTCTTTCCCCGGAACCGCGAAGATCCCGGGGCCATGTGGAAGGCTGCCCAGGCCGTGCTCGGAACCCCCGGCATCCCCCTCCCACTCTTCTTCTCTTCTTCTTCTCTTCCAGAAGGCTGCGACCCTGACCGTCACGCCTACGACTGGGCTGGCCGACGAGCTCCTGGACATTAAAGTGGCTTAGGCCCGAGGGAGCGGGTGACCCTGCGAGCGTCGGCCGTCAGCTACCGAGGCCGTCTCTTCCACTCGCTGGCCCACTACCAGGCGGACGGCCACGGGGGCTTGGACCTGGCCAGGGACCCGGCTCTGGGCGGCGACTTCACGGGCGTGGAGCCCTTGGGGCTCCTGTGGAGCCTCACGCCGGTCGGCTCAGAGGATCCCTGCTTCAACCAGATGCCGAGGGGCGTGATGAAAAGCCCCCTCAAAGTGGAGGTGACCGTCCACCATGCGCCGCGGCAGCCAGCAGTGTCGCTGGGCCCGGCGCTGGCCTCCGCCCAGGTGCAGCGCTGGTTCTCCAGCCCTGAGCTGCGCCGTGCTCGGCTGCAGGCCGGCCGCCTGCGGGGCGTCTTCTTGCTGCCCCCGGGTGCGTGAGGTTTTTTCCGCAGAGGGCTTTGCATGGATTTAGGAAGTCGATTTATGAAAGCTGACTTGCTCTGCTGGCTAATTTATCTTCTGAAAACAAAGCGGGCGCCTTAATTCCTTTATTTTGTCGCCCTAGACACCAGGTGAGATAGTCATTCTCCTAAATGGTGACTGGGATTTAAATTTAATCTGCTCGGATACCTCTTTTCTGCCAGCTGCCGCCCCCTTTAAACTCCTAGTGCTGCCGATGCTTTTCCTTGCGAGCATCTTTGCTATAGTTTCTAGCATGAAGTATTTGTTTGCCTCTCTAGTAGGCAGAGCTTTGTGGTAATTTGACTTTTTCTGTTATTTCTTGTAAAAATGACGAGAATAGTGGATTAAAATCTTTCACTGGTATCCGTTCAAGCTCCAACATAACTGAAGTCCTATTACATATATTGTTCACTTTTTTTTATACTGGTTTTACGTTAGGATACAGATGATCTTTTTGTAGTTAATTCTGACATACTCTGATTCCTTGGAGACCTTTATCATGATGAAGAAACTGTTCTGTTGCTCATTTCATAGATCAAAGAACAATTTCTGTATAGATGAGAAAACTGAGGCCTAAAGTGTTTTAACCAAATCACACAGCTAGATGGTGCTAAAATCAGGGTGTAGTCAAATTCTTTGAGAGCCACACTGACCACAAACGGGCTGAGTGAATGAGTGAAATAGTGAGGTTTTTATTAAAAAAACAAACAAACAACAAAATAGTCTGGCTTATTTTCTACTCTCACTCTCAGGATCCTCAGGACCAACTAAGAATCTTTTAAATGAGAGATTTAAAACATTTTCATTGTTGAGGATGGGTGGGCTTTTTTTTTTTTTTTAGAGCCTATAAGGTACTAGCAAATTTACATACTGGGGATCCAGTTACTGAATTGAAACAAAATAAAC